ACCTTACGGTTGAACGGAAACCTGTCCGTGAGTCGCGCGTCGATAGTGTTAGTGCATTAACACTATCAACGCGCGACTCACGGACAGGTTTCCGTTCAACCGTAAGGTATGATTGGCCTGTTTTGAACCTTTTTATCTAAAAAAACTACTGCTCGGAACGAAAAATGGCAAATAACTTTTTAATTTATTTTTTCGACGACTTTCTTGCTATGGTATTTTGATTCGCGAATTTCAGGACACCCTGTATATGATCCTCTATCGTTGCTGCAAGTTTCATCGAAATCAGTGAAGAACAGCGCGTATAAGTGTCCCCTTGTCAGTGATCACGTCACACACTGTTACACCGTAAAATTTCAAATTACGGGCGTTATCTTTCTTATTATTTTTCTCTCTTTCAGGCTTTCCTTGGGCTTACTGAAAAGGCGCAACTGCAAAGAAAAACTACATTACATATAAATTACTAAGTATCAATATTATCATTATATTTAACATTAAAAATAGAACATGTCCGGTTTTAACAATTTTTTAAATAATAATTACAGCAAAATGTACCGATTACTTTTCTTGGAATGTCTGGCGACAAGAACGGAGTATTCAAGGTTGACGAGCGCAACTGATAAAGAGTTCCTACGTAAAAGAATAATTTCAGAATGATCTTCAGAACATATCAACTAGAGTAAGTAACTAGAGTAAGTAACTCTAGAGATATAAATAAAGTATGTACATACATATTTGTATATTGACATATGTATGTGTGTGTGTATTTGCAGGAGTACAGAGAAATTGAGGAAAAATGAGAAAAAGCGCTTTTTTGAGATGCATCCTGATTGTATAAATATTTTGGAAACTTCAGTTTTTCAACAGATCTTCGACTTATCGAGAGACAGGGATATACAGGCTTACATTTAGGTAAGTTAATTTTATCAAAATTCGTGGAAATAATTAAGCGGGTATAATCTTTTTTTACTAAGATTTATTTACATTTATTTCAATCACACCTAAAAAAAGAAAAATGAAATAGAATAAAGATAGAAACAAGCTCCTTTAAAACTTATTTAAAATATTCGTTTTAAAACTTATTAACAAAATTAATTTTATTATTTACAGATGGCTGAACTGGATGGTGATTTGAGAAGCATACTATCATCAGTCGAAGATGTACTAAATATTAATATTGTTTGTGACGATTCAATTATATAGTTCGCGATTTGCAAGTGCTCAAATTTTATGTTAAGAAGTTAAAAAATTTTCCTATTTCACGCTTATGAAATTAGAAAATTTTTTGGCACCATTCAGATTTTTGCTTATTTAATTTCAATGTTATAACTTTTACATGCATTTAAAAATTTCGCAAGTATCCATTCTTTTATAGTTTTCACCAATGTTTTTTTCACGTTCTTATAAATTCACTCTTCATTCAATGCTACGAATTATAAGATCGCGAAAGAACATTGGTAAAAGTTATTTAAAAAAACAGAGAGAATTGTGAAATAATCAAACTGTGTGCAAATTGTGCGTAAGACTTATAGCATTCAAATCGAGTGGGCGAAAATCCAAATGGTGTGCAAAATTTGTAATTTTATATGCGTGGAATAGGAAAAATTTCTAACTTCTTAATACAAAATTGGAGCACTTGCGAATCGCGACGTAACTGAACTTTCTAAACTGTAATCCGTGTGATTTTTCTAAATCGAACCTTATAGTATCTTTGTAATTCTGTAAATCACAAAAATATGAAATAAATAATAAAATTTAAAAATATGAACAAATTTTATTTATATGTCACTGTATATATGTTGTAAACATAATGGACACATTATATATTAGTAATCATAAACTTGAATGTAGTAATAAAAAAGTGAGCGCAGTAGTAAAAAATGAATGAAGTATCTCAGGCGTCCCGTCATTCCCGAGTCTTCAGCGGTGCACACGTACAATTCTCGTCCACAAAAAATATTTCAGGAAAAAGGTACGTATTACGAATTTATATTTATACATTATATATATACCTGCATATAGTTGTGTATAGTTTTTCTTTAAAAGAGTGACCCAGGTTTGGCTCACTCTTTCCGGACAAAAATTAAAAATGGATTTTGGGTTTAAAATAAAGTTTGATGCGTCAATTACAAATATGCAAGCGCTAAGGTGGATGGACGTTGCGTTTCAGAGATATGGTTCTTTGAAAATCTCATTTTCAACCAGAAATGGGATTTTCATGGGCTACATCTTTAGAACGCAACGTCTGTCTACATTGACGCCTTGCATATTGTAGTATGCATGCGACATAAACTTTATTTTAAGTCCAAAAATGATTTTTAATTTTTAATTGTAAAAAATGGGCCAATTGCCTATGGAGGACTGGTCGCACTCTTTATATTTCAAAAATTAATACGCCCGTGTTGGGACACCCGCTGGAAGCTGGCTGAATCGAGCCGCTTTCGGAGTAAGTCGTGGAGCACGGTCGTGGAGCGTCCCTTGACGAACGGTTGTGAAGGGGACGCTCCACAACTTACGCCGAAAGCGGCTAGATTCAGCCAGCTTCTAGCGGGTGTCCCAACACGGGCGTAACAATACAGAGTCCCGATAATCTGAGTTAATACGTTAAATAAATTTAATTTATTTTAGTATTATAATTTAATGTATTCTTTTATGAATAAAAAGTTGACATTTTATATATAAATATATACATATAATGTAAACGTGTAAATTCATAGAAGAATATATTAAATTATAATATTAAACATTAATTTTTACATATATTATATTGCTTTACGTAATCTCAATTTTTAAATTTTTAAAATATTTTATGCAATATTTTATACAATATAACAATATTACAATGTTTTGTCTGCATCAATACAAATCAGCAAAAATTTTTTTGAAAAAGATTAAAAAATTTTTTGACAGATATTTTCAAAGATATTAAAAAAACATTAAATGAATTCTGTCCTCTTTAATTTATATTTGAAACATGTGTATTTTAAAAATTGCTTCAAAAGAAATATTTAATAAACATTAAATTAAGATTATTTTTACAAATAAATTATACAATAATTGATTTGTAAAACTAACATTTATTGAATGTTTATTAAATATTTATTTTACATAAACATTAAGACAAAATTTTTAAAATAAAGTAAATAGGACTTAACCGTTAATTAACTTTAAAAATGTTTTCCAAAAATTAAAAAAACTTTTTAAAAACTTTAGAGATTGAGATACATGCTCATTTCTTTATCACGTATATTACACTTTAACGTTGTAAATGTTGTGGAAATGTTCAAAATATGCAAAAGTTGTGAACATATCTGAATAAGCTTAATATTTAACATTAAAACATTATTTATTGAAAAATTAATCATTTAAATAATATTAATATTTAATCGATAAAATATGATTAGTATTAATTCAATGATTAGTATCATATTCAATTTAAATTGAAATTATATTTTATTGTAACAGGTTTTGAAAAGAAAAATTACAATGCCAAAATATAAAAAATATAAAGATTTATGTCGCAGACAACAAAATCGTCGCTTATTAGAACAACAAAAGGAAAATATTTCTTCTATTAATCTACAAAGCAACATTACTAAGAATAAAATTGGAACTGTTCATGTGGAAAATTTTTCTGAAAATGTTAATTTTGATCAAAATATATTATCTCCTGAATCGTCACATATACAAGATATGCAATTAACGGACATTGAACACATAGAGTCTATACATGATATTCCTTCAATATATAATAATACACAAGACAATCGAAATAGTTTGCAGCAACGGTTACGAGACTGGGCTATTAGATTTAATGTAACACAAAAATCAGTCACAGCACTATTACATATTTTGAGGGAAGAAGGTCACAATGATCTGCCCAATGATAGTCGAACGCTGTTATGTACACCTATAAAGACAATTGTTCGTGAATGTGGAGCTGGTCAATATTATCATTATGGTTTAGAAAAGGCATTACGAAAAAAATTAGAATTTTATGAATATATTAATAACATAATTTTAATAAATATAAATATTGATGGCTTACCTCTTGCTAAGAGTTCACAAAGTCAGTTATGGCCTATACTTGGTCAAGTTTATAATAAGCAGTCAGAAGAACCCTTTCTGATTGGTGCATATCACGGTTATAAAAAGCCTACGAATGCATGTGATTTATTGCAGGAGTTTTGTGATGAATATCTTGTACTGCACAATAAAGGATTTATATTTCAAGGTAAAACATACAATGTTACGATTAGAGCTGTTATTTGTGATGCTCCTGCAAAATCCTTCGTAACTGCCACAAAAGGACATAATGCTTATTTTGGATGTGGAAAATGTATCTGCGAAGGAGATTACATAGAGCACAAAATGGTTTTCCTGCAAGAAAATGCAGTATTAAGAACAAACAGTAATTTTCGTAATAGATATAATGAAGAACATCACATTTCTATTTCACCTTTTGAAAATTTACCCATAGACATGATTAACAATTTTCCATTGGATTATATGCATGTAATATGTTTAGGAGTTATGAAGAAGATGTTACTTCTGTGGATTAAAGGAAAGCAAATATCACGGTTACGCGCTATAGATGTAGAAACATTATCAAAAGATATTATATCTTTAAAAAAATTCATACCGATTGAATTTGCTCGTCATCCACGAGGTATTAATGAATTAGACCGCTGGAAAGCGACCGAATTTCGATTATTTCTTCTATATTTGGGTCCTATCGTTTTAAAGAAATATTTAAATGAAGATTATTTTAAACATTTCTGCGTTTTACACACTGCTGTACGCATTTTGTGTCATCCTTCAGATTGCATGCGTAATAATACGTTTGCAAATGAATTATTATTAATTTTCGTCCAAACATTTAAAACATTGTATGGTAAAGATAATGTTGTGTATAACATTCATAATATAATTCACTTTTGTCAAGATGTAAAGATGTATGGTCCTCTCGACTCATTCAGTGCATTTCCTTTTGAAAATTATATGAAAACTTTGAAGAAAATGTTACGGAAATGGGAAAAACCGCTATCTCAATTAAACAACAGACTTAATGAACACACAATATCTGAGATTAATGTTCGAAATAATAATATTGAAAATACACCACTATTTCTAAAACCAGATGGAAAAATTTTACCTTTACAATGTGTGCATTCCCATAAACAGATTAAATTTAAAAATTTCACGTTAACAACAAAGTCACCAAATAACTGTTGTTACTTGAAAGATAGATCCGTTTTTTGCATCAAATTTATTGGCTTCAAAGATGGAAATTCTGTTATTTTGGGGAAAAGATATACTGATCTTCAACCAATTCCATCATATCCCTCCAATTCACAACATATGAATATACATGCAGCAAGTAGTTTGGGAACGCATATGGAAATAATATCTACAACAGAAATTGACATAAAAGCTTTCAATGTATATTTCGATAACGTTTATTATATTATGCCTCTTTTACATTTATAGATGTGAGTGTTAATAAAATACGTACATTATATGTATATTTAGAAGAAAGGTATTCATATTACATGTATGTAATTCACTTGATTGTTATTTCAGATGTATTATGTGATATTTTACGATGATTGGTGCACCACAATACCTAAGCTTTGGGTAGATATACCAAATGAGACATTCCAATGGCCACCAAAAGAAATAAATGTCAGGGTGGCTGTAATTAAAATTACCTGTCCAACCGATAATTGGAACACATTAAGCTACCGAAAAATTTTAGGACCATACAGTAAATATAATCTAATTGTTTTGTTAGAACATTATGTGTTTTATGAATATTTAAAAGGATATTTTCTTACTCAATATAATAAAAAATAGGCAACTTTCATTAATTTTTTAAATAAGGAAGATCAATCTACAACTTGTACGTTTTTAATACATATTGTGACGTTGCCGTCCCGCGTGCGCGTCCACCGGGTTCCTCCCTCAGGGCAACAGGCCGCGATTGGGGAACCCCAATCGCGGCCTGTTGCCCTGAGGGAACCCGGTGTACGCGCACGCGGGACGGCAACGTCACAATATATATTTGCCGATCTTTTAACATATTATTTATAAAAATCTTTAAAGAAACGAATATTTGAGGATCATCATAGTTTCATCTACACCGAGTCGAATGTGATGGTACTCATGATTACATCCTTTGTGTTGATCTGAAATGTAAAACAAAATTTTTTATGTTCAGGAAGCTTGATACTATCGTATCACAACCATAGAAATACAACATCAAAAAATGGCAACTTGAAAAAGAAAGAATTTAAACTGGTATTTTTTAACAATTCTTAAACTTTAATGTAGTATAAAATTAGTATCTATTTATTAATTGTTCCAAGTTTAGTACAAACGACAAGCTTTCTAAACATAAAAAATTTTCATTTTGTATTTTGGATCAACACAAAGGATGTAATTATGAGTACTGTCACATTTGATTGTCAGTCTAGATAAAATTACAATGATTCCTTAAATATTCTTTTTTTTCTAAAAATGGTTTTTAAAAATAATATGTTAAAAGTTTTACAAATAAGTAGTAAAACGTAAAAGTTGTAAATTAATCTTTTTTATTTTAAAAATTTATGAAAGTTGCCTATTGTTAAAAAATTATCCTTTTTCTTCGATAGTTAATAAACAGCCGTAAAATGAATGTGATACAAAACCTAGTCATGCAGGTTATGCGTAAGCGCATGAATATATTTCGTATCACATTTAATTTATGGCT